AGAGATGATGGCGCCTGTTATACGTAGTACCAACGTCCTTGTTCAATGGTGTCGGCCTGCCCTAGGTTGGATCAAATTAAACTCGGATGGGAGTAAGAATCAAGTGGATAGTACTGCCAAGTGTGGTGGGGTTCTCCGGGGTTGCAACGGAAGCTGGATGGTGGGTTACAACAAATTTATTGGCATCTATATAGTTATTGAAGCGGAGCTTTGGGGAGTCTTTGTCGACTTGACAATTGCTTGGGAGTGGTTTTCGTAATGTCGAAGCTGAGGTTGACAGTCTTCAAGCATTCTGTCCTCTTTAAACGGATCGGATTTAGGGATGGGTATGAGTCGAATTTTTGGTCCACCGACCCAATCCGAGAATAATGACTCCTCCACCAGAGATCTAATCTGACCCACATGAAACAAGATTCTATCCGACCCGACCCCGACCTGAAATAATAAAAAAATATTTTTATTCAATAAAAACATTAACTTAATTGAAAAAAAATAATATATAGAAGGGTATTATTATAATTATTTTTAAATATATAAGATAAAATTATATTTTTTTCGAGTTAAATCTTAAACCCGAATCCGACTCCACCCGAATATCACATTTAAAAAATTTGACCTGACCCGATCTGACTTGAACTCAATTATTTTTAAAAAATCAACCTAATTAAATCGGATCAGATCAAAATATGTTGGCTTGGGGTCCATGCCCATCCCTAATCGGATTGGACATGTGCCGCTATCTTCATATCCATATTCTTGTTTAACAGAACTGGTATCATCGTTTTCGTCGCGTTTCTAGAAAAGGTAATCATGAGCTGGTCATTTGGCTAGTTTGGCATCTGCTGTTGATTTTGGGGTTCAGTATATGGGAAGTTATGCAATAGGGCCCAAAATATAAGGTTAAAGAAAACGTTATCGAAAATATTATTTTTTTTTTAATATTTTCTGTAAAAAATTATTTAAAATATTTTTTTTACTTAAAATATTAATGTTTTTTAACATTTTTAGTAAAGTGTCAAAATATTAATGTTTTAGGTAATTTTTTATCGAATATGTTAACAAACCAGATAAAACACCTAATAATAATATTTCCGGTAAAAATAATAATATTTTAAGTAATTTTTTATCAAAAATATTATCAAAAATATTAAAAAAATAATATCATTTCAGTATCATATTTCCTTATAATATATTTAACTGCCGAACGTGATATTTCCTCTGATTATATTGTTAATCCTTCACATGATGTAGTGAAGTTATTGCGGTTAGATGATGTCAGGTCGCCTATTTGAGCTGACATTTTTTTTACTGTTCTTTTGTTTTTTAATACCCGTTTGGTTCACGTCATATTTTATTTCTGGGAGGAATATTTTTTTTTTTTTCAGGTAACGATACCCATGTTTAAATGGGCTTCATTCCCAAGTGCAGGAAAAGAATGAATATCAACAGTGGTATTTCTTTTCTCTTTTCCCGAGTAATCCCCTGTCTCTCTTAGGTATTTGCTTATTCCCAGTTTCGTTGTCTAAAATACCCCCGTTTGGTTCTGGTTGAAAGAAAATCTTCTGCTTCTTCGATTTGGCGTTCAATTTGCTTCTGGCGTATTAGTGTCCCATCTCCCTTTTAGGTATTTGCTTCTGGCATTGATATTTTCAACATTTTTATTTGATTCTTGGCGTTGATATTTCAATTTGTTTCATTGTTCAATTTTTATGGGTTTGTGTTTTCACTCGTGTTTCTGTATTTTCTCTACTACTACACTGATCTGCCCATTATTTTTCTAATTTTTATGGGTTCATGGGACTAATTGAGATGCAACTATTTTTCAATGCACCCAGATTTGAGCTCACTTGAGTTGTAGCAGTTAAACCCATTCAAAATCTAAAATGAGTTATCCATCTTTCATTGAGAAACCAGGTATGTTTTTATAGGTGTGAACCTTTTTTTCTTCGTTTTTGAAACTGATGCATTGTTTATTGAACTGGAACTTCTCTGTGTTTGGTTTGATTTCTTCTAGTTGTTAAGTATTGTATTCAACATTTTGAAATCTGTGCACTGGCTTTGAATGGTTGTGATTAATTCGTCTTTGGTTAATCTTTTTTCTTCATGTACCCTTTTGTTTCGGACATACCACAACGCCCAGATGCATACTAGAATTTATGCATGCTTATTGCTTGGATAATTCTCTAATACCCAGCTCAACCATTCTTTAAAATTTCACTGTGTGCTTTGTTCTGGCCAACGATACTGTAGCTTTTCCCAAATGCTGCTTCATGGTGTGCAATCCTTGATAATGTGAATTCCTGTCTCACTTTGATTTGGACATGACTGACATCTGAGACTATTCATGATTCGTCTGTAATGGAGCATATGATTTGTGGGGGTTAAATCTTGACATAATTTCCATATTTGAATTTTTATTTTTCTGTGACATTCACTTGCCCACAGTCTTTTGTAGAGCATCTTTTCTAAATTTGCGATTTCCTCTCCTTCAACGCTAGGAAAACTTGTTTCTTCCTTCTTCCTACCAAACTAGGGAGCCCAAGATACTGTTCGAGATTAGAAATACTTGATACTTCCAATATTCTACTCACATCTCCTCTGTTCGCATCAATCACGTTTATGCTAAAAACTAATCCGAATTTATCCAAGTTTATGGCCTAGCCTGAGCTTTTCCCATATATGAGAAGTAAATTCTTTATCTTCCCTGTTGTACTTGTTGTGGCTTCCCCAAATATTAAATAATCATCCGCAAACATTAGGTGAGTGATTTGAGGGGCATACTCGTTCAATTTTACACCCTGGAACGTTCTAGTGCTCATTGTTTTTCAGAATAAGGTTAAGAGGCCTTCGCCGCAAATGAGAAAGAGATATGGACTTAATGGATTGCCTTGTCGCAATCCTCTTTGGGGGTAGGAAGGATCTTATGTCTCACCATTCATCGCCACCGAATATGAGACTGTAGTTACGCATCTTTTGATTTTCCTGATCCACTCTTCATCAAACCCCGATCTGTCCATCATGTGCAAAAAAAAAAATCCCATTCTACCCTATCATACACTTTGCTTATGTCCAATTTTAGAGCGAAGTAGCCTTTTCTTTCCTTCCCTCTTTCCTCTTTTGTGTGAATGAGTGTAACAGTTCGTAGGTTGTGATGATGTTATCTGATATCAGTCTCCCTGGCACATACACACTTTGACCCTCGTCTATGCATATATGTAAATAGTCTTGCATTAGATGAACCAGCATTTTTGAAATGATCTTGTACACCACGTTGCATAAGCTAATCGGTCTGAACTGGGTTAGTCTACTTGGTGTCTTAACTTTCAGAATTAGCACAATATGAGTTCGGTTTATGTCCTCCCTATTATGATCGTCATTGAGCAATCCTATGTACTAGTCACTTACTTTGGCTCCCACAATGTGCCAGAAGCGTTTATAGAAAATGGCCCCTAGTCTGTCTTCACCTGATGCTCGTATTGGACTCATTGCTTTCACTGCCCTTGTAACCTCTTCCTGTGTGAATGGTTTCAATAGATTTTCATTTATTTCTTCTGTTATACAAGGTGTCACTGCTGCCGTTATGTGATTAAGCAATTAGTTGAATGCCGTCAATTTAGACCATCATTTTGATTGTCGTCCTTCTACAATTATGTCGATCTCTTTTTGATTATGACTTTAGAATATGGTCCCAACTTTTTTGTGTAGCTTAGCCAAGTATATGTCAATCTTTTGACTTGAAGAATTTTTTGTGTATATAATATAGCCAACATACATGATTAAGTTTAGAATGTTACGGCTATTATCTTTTGTAAGTCTGAACATTGTACAAACTTTTGTAAGTTTAGAATGAGATTGGATTGAGATGCCTCTGCAACTCTTGATTCACTGAAAGTTCATGTGTTTTGTTTTCGAAACAAAAATGGTTCTTCAATCAAATTTCGCATTGTCCATTAGCAACACTAGTGGTGTCACTAAAATGGAATATAATGTTTGATAACTGTATTAGCAAGAGTTCTTTCAAGAAATCTTCTGCAATGCTCCATGGGACTCGAGCATGATTAAGGCAGAAATGAATTAGTTAGGATTTTATGCAATTTCCAGCATATGTAAAATGAAAGTTCATTTACAGTTATATCAGAGACCACTATCATACATGACATACAAAAACGTATAAGTAGCCTTTTGATGTTTTTTTCTTTCACTTAACATTCACTTCACTGAAAAAGACTTATCGAGCCAAAGTAACATTTCGTGAAGTTTGCAAACATAACACAGGATTCCAAAACCAAAACCAGCAGATTTACTAAATCCGAGTTGCAATGGAAACTGCAAAAATTAAGATTCAACTCAAAAGCGATATATTAGAGATGAATAGAAACCGAGTTGAAATGAAATAAGCCTTTACATATACATACAAAAGAGAGTTGCAACTATTAAGATTCAACTCAAACTAAATCCGAGTTTTAACTTTTTATGTATATTTGGTATTGTAAAGTACAGCAGTGGGGTAGATACTGTCAAGGCTGAGTTAAAGTGTTTTCCCAACAAACCAAGGGAATATCTGACACAGATTTTCAGCATTCACTTTTGATTCCACCAGAAAACAGTTATGATTAGTTACGGACTTACTTGCAGAGTTGATTTATTTACAAAACAAAAAACTTGGCAACAGCAACAGTTTCCACCTTATGAGCAAGTCTTACCATTTCACCTAAAAATTTATAGTAATCCATGGTCATGTTAGTGAAAACTGCAAGTCAGGGGGAAATTGCTGATGCCAAGGTTAAGCATAATCGGCGGCCATTAAGTAGCCTTTTGATTTTTTTTTCTTTCACTTAACATTCACTTCATTGAAAAAGACTTATCGAGCTAAAGTAACATTTCATGAAGTTTGCAAACACAACACAGGATTCCAAAACCAAAACCAGCAGATTTACTTTTCAAACTGTTGCAGCTCGATTTTCCAGGCCGTTGCCAATTGTAATAAAAGTTGGTCAGGTGCTGAACCTTCCCAATTCTCTGGTGGATCCATCGTGGAAGCTGCCTCATGTAAAGTGCAACAGAAGCTCTTTCTTCAACTCCATGGGAATGGCCAATGCATCAGGTCCATTTTCTAACACCACTTCGACCAGCTGAAAATTTACCGGAGAAATAGAAATTAATAGGGAAGTTACAAAAGAAAATGTCTAAATAGAGCAGCTTGAAGAGAAAGCATAAAAAATGAAGAGCTCATACATGTTGAATCCAGGATAGACAAATATCAAACAAATCTTGCTCCATAAGAAATTGCACAATAGCATGCAATGCTTCATTTGCTATCTCATTTGATAGTTGTTCAACCATAGGGCCTGATCTATCCATTAGCTTTATAAGCAAGAGATCATCCCCTGTAGAGAGAACTTCGCCATAGGCAGAATCCATATCACCTACTTGAAGGGCATGCATTGCATTGCTCCAAGAAGTTCAGACAGGATCTTGCTGCGGTCATACGTTATCATCAATAACAGCTTCAGCAGTCAATTCAGGAACATGACCTGAATGAGATGTTACACCATCCTCCCCAGCTACGCGAATTGCTTCCAAGGTAGCTATTATTTTCTTCTTTATTTGAATTATATTTTTGTAATATAAATCCATGAGCTAAATAATAATGATAAAGTATGCAGAATTAAGTATAAATATAAAAGATAAATAAATAAATTATTGTATATAGAAGATATAATAAATGTTGTATCTTAGATAACAAAAATAATTTAAATCTTTTTATTATTATGAATATCTATGATAAATTATTGTATACAGAAGAATGTAAACCTTGTCGATTGAAAAATACAAGAAACCTCCTAGTGAATGCGTCACATATGAACTGAAGCTAGTTTCCACAATGTAAACATTTAGTTAAATGTTGATGTAAAATTTTAATATATTTTTAGATAAATTATGTAAAATTTAATATTAATTAAAATTAAAATAATACATGATATATTTAAATACTCAAGTAATATATTATCAATATATATAATTTTTATATAACTAATTTTTATTTAAATATTTAGAATTTTACTTGTTAAAAATATAGAACAAGGACAATTTGGTAAAATATACATTTCAGTAATATTTTATTCCTTCAACCAAACATGGTAATCTTACATTCCCGCCAAACCAACCAAATACAGTAATGTAACATTCCCCGTAATCTTATTCCCTGATAATCTTTTATTCCCACTGGTAATCTTACATTCCGTGAACCAAACGTACCTTAAGAGTTGTTAGTGTACTCTTTTCCTTTAATTAAAATTAGAAATATTTTTAATGAGATATTCATAATTTTTAATGAAATATTTGAGAAAATTAGCCATTTTTCTGGGAGATTTTCCCCAAAAATCACCGGTGATCGGTATATTTATCGATCTAACACCGGTCAGATTATATTTTTCGATCTAACACCCGTAGCAGTAAAGCGCCCCCCTGAACCGCGCTATATGCTGATTTGGCGTCACGTGGAGTATAGCGCGCACCAAAATTATATTTAACGCGGTCCCTGATCCGTGCTATATAATAATTACATATAACGCGGTGCAGGTACCACACCTTATATGTTTATAAATACCTCGCATCTCTCCTCACATCTCCTCGCATCTCTCCTCTCTTATAAATTAATACAACAATTCCGTCAACGAGTAATAATTCTGCCAATCTTCTTATATTTGATTTAGAAGTTCGTGCGATTTTTTGTTATAAGGTAATTTTGTTATAAGTTTTTAATTATACTTATTGTTTATTATCATTATTTGAAAAAATATTATACTAATTATTTTTAATTAATTTTTATGTTTGTAAAATTGAAAAGCGGGAGCATACGTCGAAATAGTTTTACGGTGCAGGTAATAATATAAAATTATATTATTTAAATTATTTACGTTGATGTGTAAAAAAAATTGTGTTATATTTTCGTTCATATATAATTTATTTAATCAAGTTTGTTTAAGTTATTTTTTTGCAGATATAATATTGCCGCACTTTTAAACTCAAAGAATGGTGCGACTTTCGGCTATTGTTTATTATGATGGTGAAATTCGAGAAGATGAAACCGGCGTTGTTTTCGTATCAAATGAGCATGTTAAAATATCATTCAAGAGAAACATAACTCTTGAGGAGCTGATAACGAAGATTTCGAGGAAGATTCATGTTGGAAGTAACAGAAGAATGTCGTTGTTGCAATACAGATTTCCAACATCATTGTGGCCATTAACTTATACAGCGTTCGAACTTTCGAACAATGATGATGTTCAAATGATGGTTGAAGCTCAAAGTAATTATTCAGACGCCGCTATTGAGATGTATGCACATTTTGTTCAAGTGTGTGTTGTTCGGGGTCAATCTTTAAGCTCACACTATGGGCTGGCTGAACAAGTTGATCAAGTTGACAGCCCGACTACAGTAATGTGTAATGATTTTAATGCCATAGTGGGGAGACATTCATCCGCAACTCCTTACGATATGTACCGAGGTGGGTCCACGAACAATCTGTATGGTAACACCGCGTCCAGTTCAAGGGGAAGGCATTCATCTGCAAATTTCTTTGACCATATGGAGATGCCATCGACGCAACCATCTGTGCAGTTTCCATTTGACACGATGACTTCAAGCTCCAGGGGGAGGCATTAGACTACGAGCTTTTTCGATCTCAATGTCGATATGCCTTCCAGTTCAAGGGGAAGGCGTGCAAGTAGTAGGTTCTTCGACCTAAATGTGGAGAGCGTGGAGAAACCATCATCTCCACCAGAAGAACCGCTTCGTGAGCCTGGTGCGGAGATGAGACTGGACTATTCATTCACCCAGAATCACCGCAATTCAACTCCGATGATGATGAAGTTCCAGGAAATGTGGCACAAACTGACTATCCCACCGGCCTACAAAAACTGGGAAAACCCATACATCGCTGAGTGTGAAAACTGTACAGGAGGTGACTGTGCTGCGCCCATGGGTGATGAGACTGAACCCGCCAAATATCCAGTATATGAACCCTAAGTCGGATCTACAAACATAGACCCATAATAACCTCCAGGAGGGGTCATCTGTGACGGTGGCGGGGTCATAAAACCAGGTGAAGGCGGCGGCGGCGACATCTGGTAATGGAAAGGCGATGACGGCATCATATATGGCTGCGGTGGCTACTGGGAAGGTCCTGCTGGTACAACTGAGGATGAACTGGAAGCACCTGCTCTCCGTCCACGAGTCGGGGGATGATGGTGTTGTGTCGGTGAACGTCTCTGTCGATGTCGTGGAAAGGTCTGCCCTCGTGCATCCTCGGGAAGTAGAAACAGTTTCCCGTTACTGTTGAACCACTCATAATAATCCTCAGCATACATCAAGAAGTCAGTAAAAATGGGCTCTCTACGTGGAAGGCGCCGATGTCGATCCTCCCACAACACGACCCACTCATGATGCCTCACCAGCCAATCTGTATCTGTCTTGCCGCGTCTATCTAAGCTATGCAATTTGTCCATATTGCGAGGTGTTTCCGAAATTGGTTGAAAACAACCAAACTGCCGGAGCACGCGATCAGTGGAGTGTCACTCGACGGTCGTATAACAGATCAGAGGGACCATCGCCATCCAAACATCTGATGGACCCCTCAACTCAGGTGGGATCACCGCCCTCACATCATCAGTAGAATATGACACCCATTCAAACTAAAACAAATAATATATAATTTTTATCAAAATAATAATCTAATTATATAACTATAATCTAAAATCGATTTTTAAACATTAAATTTCATACCTGTGTGCCAACCTTCTGATCGATTAGCACCCTAATTTTTTCTAAATCATCAGGTAGCTCCTGATGATTTTTCCTATCAGTAGACCACCTATTCAAGGAAAACAAATTGTTATATGCTGTATAAAATTATTAATATACAAAATCAGTTTTATAATTACCTCAGAAGTAGTGGAAATACGAATGGGTTCTTCACAACAGGACATAAAAAGGGCAATCGATACCATGCCCAAGACTGCAGCAGCAGGAGACATCCGCCGATAGCATTACGTCTGTAGTCAGTGGCTTCACACATCTCCCTGTACAACAAAGCTAAAACTGTTGAGCCCCAACTGAATGATCCGACGAGACGAAAATCGCTAAGATGTCGCAACCACATGTAGTGAACTAGGTTGCGCGATTTGTCCGGCATCAGCAACCCTCCTATCAACTGCAGTATGCATGCCTGTGCATACATCTTAACCTCATCCTCAGAGGCGTCTGCGCTCAACTCCCGAAAATTGGCATCTAACCAATTTAACGGTATCCTACCTCCGATAAAATTTTCCGGGACACGTCCTAGACTATCCCGACACAAAGTAGTCCAAGAACCGAAAGCTATCCCCGATATCACATCTCCATCCATCGGAAGCCCTAGGTGCATAGAAACATCCTCAAGCGTGATTGTGCACTCTCCGCACATAAGATGAAATGTGTGGTCTCCGACCTCCACCGCTCTACTAAGGCAGAAATCAGGTCTGGCTCTATCTTACAGTGACCCTTATATCTACCTATGTAACCGAATCCAACCTACTAAATACGGCAAGACACGGCTGGGTATCACTAACTTAAGATTCTTAATAAAAGGATCTAATACATGGTCCTTCTCCTAAAAATAAATAATTACAAAAATTAATTTTTACTTTAATAATCATGCATTAAATAAATCAACTAATTATTACTAATAATTTAAATTAAATTAAAAGGTTAAAATGTTACCGTATCAGCAAAGTGTCGAGATATTTAATTCTTAATCTAATAATCATGCATTAAATAAATCAACTAATTATTACTAATAATTTAAATTAAATTAAAATGTTAAAATGTTACCGTATCAGCAAAGTGTCGAGATATTTAATTCTTAATCAAATAATCATGCATTAAATAAATCAACTAAATATTACTAATAATTTAAATTAAATTAAAACGTTAAAATGTTACCGTATCAGCAAAGTGTAGAGATATATGATTTTCATCCGAGCGAAGTAGACTGCCTTCTATTATATATCTGCAAAAGAATTATATTAGTAAAATATTAAATAAAGTAAATACATAATAGTAAAAATATTATAAAATATACCTTAAAAAGATAGAGTATTTGATAGAAATTTAGACAATTTGAGAGAATTTGGTGTGATAAAAGTGATTGAGGATGGGGGTATTTATAGGGAAGATGGGGACGTGTATTTAGGGGTATAGCGCGCCCCCTGCACCGCGCTATACCCCATGTGTCAGATACCCAGGTATAGCGCGGATCTGGGGGCGCGCTATACCAATGTGGCGCCAGATCACCGTATATCGTGAGGCAGGGGGCGCGCTATACCCACGTGGTGCCAAATCAGCGTATAACACGATTCAGGGGGCGCGCTTTACTGTTACAGGTGTTAGATCGAGAAATATAATCTAACCGATGTTATATCGATAAATATACCGATCACCGGTAATTTATTGAGAAAATTGCCATTTTTCTGTGTATGATTTCTCCTTTAATCATATTTGTTTTAATTACGTTCTGGGAAGAGCGTGTACTTCACGTAAACGAGTGAGAGCGTAAGCTAAGTAATTTATTGCCTATTTAAGTAGTAGCGAAAAGGTCGCTCAACTGAAAAATTACTTGTAAAGAAAGAAGCCTGAGAGAGCTGGGAGCATATGCCATGTCTTTTTTTAAGAGAAAATAACCTCAGTGACTAAAAATGACTTATAATATACGATTTTAACCAACTTTTTTTGGATTTGCCAAAATGACCAACTAAATCACAATGCGATCGATAATTCGCAACGCGATCTCCTGTATCGCAAATCAGTTTCCATATTCGTAACGCGAACTTCGACTATCACATTACGATTTACATATTCGCATTGCGATAGTCCAAGTTCACGTTGCGATTTATTCCGAGTTCGTTGCGATAGTCGAAGTTCGCGTTGCGATTTATTCCAAATTCGTTGCGATTTATTCCAAGTTTACGTTGCGATTTATTCCAAATTCGTTGCGATAGTCGAAGTTCGCGTTGTAATTTATTCCAAATTCGTTGCGATAGTCGAAGTTTGTGTTGCGATTTATTCCAAATTCGTTGCGATAGTCCAAGTTCGCGTTGCGATTTATTCCAAGTTCGTTGTGATATTCCAAAATCGCAATGACGGTATTGCATTTGTTTCTTAAGAATTTTCTCTAAAAAGATAGTATTCGCGCGAGAGTCCCCCTTGTTCTCTATCACTCAACAAGGAAGTGGGAAAGCCAAGCCTTAAATACCATTCCAATAGTATTTCCAATACTATGTGGGATTGAGCATTACCAACACTTGTTCACAATACTATGTGGGATTGAGCCTTAAATAGTGATATTATTTTTGAATGTTTTGCTTAAAATTGCAATAATCGCGATTGATTGTAGATTGACTTTTAATTATGACATATTTAATCGTATAATACTAATGCAATTGGTTGTTGATTTAGTTGTTTTAAGGTGCATGATTGTTAATTGTTTCCTGAATAATCACATTGTATTGGAAACAAGTGTTGGTAATGCTCAATCCCACATAGTATTGGAAACACTATTGGGAATGGTATGTAAGGCTTGGCTTTCCCACTTCCTTGTTGAGTGATAGAGAACAAGGGGGACTCTCGCGCACCGTCGCCGCCGACGTCCGTCTCGTCTCGGGTCGGGTCGGGTCGGGTCGGGTCGTGTCGTGTCGTGTCGTGTCGTGGTCGTGGTCGTGGTAATACGTGTCTTCGACAGGTCCGCGCGAATACTATCTTTTTAGAGAAAATTCTTAAGAAACAAATGCAATACCACCAGTCGTTGCGATTTTGGACTATCGCAACGAATTTGGAATAAATCGCAACGCGAACTTCGACTATCGCAATGCGAATATGTAAATCACAATGCGATTACATATTCGCATTGCGATAGTCCAAGTTCGCATTGCGATAGTCGACTATCGCATTGCGATTTACATATTCGCATTGCGATTTACATATTCGAATTGTGATTGTCGACTATCGCATTGCGATTTACATATTCGCATTGCGATAGTCAAAGTTCGCATTGCGATAGTCCAAGTTCGCATTGCGATAGTTGGTCATTTTGGCAAATCCAAACAAAGTTGGTTAAAATCGTATATTATAAGGCATTTTTGGTCAATGAGGTTATTTTCTCTTTTTTTAATGTTAAATTCACGTTTTAAAAATAATAATTTTAAAATTTTTAATAAAAATAATATCAAATTTTAAATTCTAATTTTTATCAAAATCATGAATCGAGTGATATTAATAATAAAAGAATTATTTTTATTTTTTGATATATTAAGTTCGAGTACTAAGAATACCAAAGATGTGAGGTTTAATGTCAAATTGTTAAGAGTTATCTTTAAACAGATATTATGTTGTAGATCAATAATAATAATTTTTATTAAAATAATTAATTTTTTTATTAATTTTTTATTAAAATTTTGTAGCTTATAATCTTATGACTTGGATTCTTTTTAGAAAAAAAATTCAAATTTAATACAATTTTTTTAAAAAAATGGTAGTAGGCTATTTTTGGAAGTTAAAAGTTGCATTTATATTAGTAAATTAGGCATTGCATATATGAAAATACTAAAATATAACTAAACAACTGCCCCTGATATTTTAAGCAATAAATTGGACCAATTTTACTTATTATTTTAAATTATTTTAAATTAAATATTAATATTTTAAACTTAAATTCATAGTTTTATGTGACTTTATGATAATATAAATATTAATTTTTTTAACTATTTTAAATAATATAGAGTGATTATAAGATATTTTATATTCAAATTTTTTTTAATCTATCGACAATACACTCACACTCCACATTTACTCAAATTCATCTGTTTTACAAAAAATAACATTTTTTCTATTAAACAAATAACATTCAACTTTATCACAAGGGTAACTTAATAGATTTCTCAGTTAATGTACTCAAAGTTGTTATGATTAAAAGATTAAATACATTTTTTAAATAGTATAGTATAATTACAAGTGAATATATGTTTATAATAATTTTTTGTCATTGACTATACATATATCGTACAAACATAATTGTTTGAATACAATTTCTTAAAAAATGATAATTTTATTTTTATCGACGAGACCATTTAATAGGTTAAAGATAAAAGTATTTTTTCATTAAGTCTTTGTTTATTTATAAATTTGTAAATAAGTTTTATTTACAGAATCATATATATTACTTTAATATTATATGTATAGTTGATGAGAGGGGAATGGGAGCAAAATATAAATAGCGTTTTGTTTTGTTATTATCTACAAGCCCAGCTTTAATGGCGTAAGAGAGTAGAATAGGGAGAGTGTATGTATATATTTCTACGGTTGTTAGAGTAACCGTATGGTGATGTGATCTCCTTTAATCTTCGCATGCTTCACCAACTCTTCAAAGAAGAAAACCCAAAACCCAAATTTAAATTATTTTTCATATCAATGAACTGCAACTTGTTTTCCATTTCCTCTGTTGATGTTTGTTTTCAAAATCTGAAGCGAAATTCTTTCTGGGTATTTGTTATTTAAGTGTTTTTTCAATTTGTATCTGATGTGGGCGTCTTGATTGTTTCCTGGTGTTCTCTTTTATGTGTGTTGGAAGCAATATCTGAGATTGGGAAGAAGAAGAGAGGAAACATGAAGGATGATGAGGAGTTTGAAATGTTGTTAGGTGAGATCACTCATGCAACATCACATCATCAACATCACCTGCATCAAAAACGTGATGATAATCATGTGAATGGGTCATTTCATGGCATGTATGGTCTTATGTATGAGGGCACATCAAGTCGTTATCATAAGCATACATGTGTTTCCCCTGTAAGCGGTTTCTCTTTACACTCGGATGGTTCTTCCTCGAGTCTGTTTTCTGACAATGGATCACCTCCATTACAAGACCTTAAGCCGCAGCACTTGCCTACTTCACTGATCATGGATTCGGCTGTTAGGACCAGGGCCAGTTGTGATGGCTTGAATGGTGAATTGGGTCTTCGTAGAAATCGTAGTAAAATGTATATTAGCAATGATCAAGAGAAGGTTGGTTCCAGTTTTAGAGATTTTTCATTCGAATCCGATGCGATTCTACTCGATAATCCGATCAATGTCGAGAAGTACAAGCTCGGTGACGAAATAAGGAAGGGGTTTCCTGGTTTTATAGGAATTCAGCCCACTTTTCCAATGAATGCTCCATTGAATTTCAATGGTAGGATGAATATGGCGTTTCCAAATGATGCTTTGATTTCTGATCAGGGAATGGGTTGTTGGAATGGTGCAATGGGATCTCCTTGGCATAAAAACGAACATGCATGTAATTGTCACCACCAGAATGGAGATTCTGTATCGAACTTAAGGGCTTCTATGAGTAAGCTTTCGGTGAACGATGCTTTAGTCCATGGAAAACGAAACGGTCTGAATTGGAATGGAGGTCATGCTTGTCCCAGGTTGATTCAAGCAACCCCTCGTGCAAGCGCCGAAAATCTGCTACATCGTGGGCTGCCACAAGCCAATGGGATGGCTAGGGGACACTCAAATGCTAGAATCCCACTCGAAGGTCTCGAGGATTTTACTAGAGAAGATAGTTTTGTTATTCAAGGGGAGAGTTTAAATTATATGATCCATAAGGGACTTGATTGTCCAAGGGAGCAAAACAAGGGTTTTCTGCAGGAGATCTGTGCGAGTAAGCCTCAAGAGAGAAGCTCGCAGCTGGATGGTTGGTCTCAAATGGCAGCAGCTGGTGGAAATGCTAAGAATTCTAAGTTATATAGCCATTTCTCTTTGCCACCGAAGTGTAACTCTTTGGCAGAAGCTCATGGATACATATACTTAATAGCAAAAGATCAACATGGCTGTCGGTTCTTACAGCGGGTATTTGATGAGGGTTCCCAGCTGGATGTGCAAATAATATTTAAGGAGATCATTGATCATGTAGTTGAACTTATGATGAACCCTTGTGGGAACTATCTCATGCAGAAGTTATTAGAAGTATGTGATGAAGAACAGAGAATGCAGATTCTATTAATGGTTACGGAAGAACCAGGGCAACTTGTCAAAATATCTCTGAACACTCATGGGTATGTCTGACACACTGCAATATATATATATATATGTATGGATAATATTTTCATATCCACAGGTTCTCAAATTGTTTTTCGTTCTTTTAGCACTCGTGTAGTTCAAAAGTTGATCGAGAGTCTCAAAACCAGGCAGCAAATTTCACTGGTTATATCAGCCCTTGAGCCTGGGTTCCTATCTCTCATAAAGGACCTTAATGGAAATCATGTTCTGCAGCGTTGCTTGCAATGTCTTACTAGTGAAGATAACAAGGTAAGCCTTCTATATGCTGAGTTGCTGAACATTAATTTATGATGTGTTATTTTTCTTGTACAAGTTCCATACCGGAATGTCTGTTTTAGGGGTCTGCATGAATACACGCCATAATGGATAGCATCCCTTTAATCACAAGTAGATTGAGCGTTAGTTTGACAGAAGGACATTTGTTTGCTTCCCCTTTAGAGGCAATGCATTGCAAGTCACTTGCTTCATAACTGCAAGTCATGTGGGCTGTCCCGTAGATGTCGCATTCTTTGGTTAATCATTAATTGGTTTCTGAACTCCGAAGTCAAAACATTAATAGTCCTTGATAATATCTGACTATGCTTTTTCCTTTTTTTGATAAAGGGTTAGATGTCTTAAGCTTAAGAGGGCTGAAAATTAATCTGGCAATATGACAGCATCTAGTCTCTTTGGAACCATGAAAAGTGCAAACTTAATGCGAAATAGTGCTGTGTTTATCTTTGCTGTCAGAATACATCGTGCTGCTTGTTAGCTATTTCTTGCAGATGTTGTAGTTGGTGCCAAACTACTTGATTTATTAGGGTGTCCTTTTATGTAACTTGGTAGTTTTATCTAAAATTCAATTAAGATAATGATGCACAAGTGCTCGTTGCATTTTGACCGTTCAGCTTTTTCCCGGTCTCGTTACTCTACAGATATTTCACAATTATCTTCCAACTGTGACAGTTTATCTTTGTTGACGCTGCAAAGTACTGTGTTGATATTGCAACCCATCAACATGGCTGTTGCGTCTTGCAACGATGCATTAGCCACTCAACTGGGGAATATCGAGAAAAGTTGGTTGAAGAAATATCCACCAATGGGCTTCTACTTGCACAGGATGCATATGGGTAAGTATTAGTACTATATTCTTAGTCTATAATTGATTAATTCTGGAAAAAAAATCTTATAAGGGATGTATAGATATGTACGTAATTATAAGAATTTCTAGTTTGCCGAATAGCCAAACTTATTGGTCAACTGGAAATACAGAAGGCGTGGAAGCTAAAAAATCGTTTTGGCATGTGGGATGGTGGTAATCCTTTGCTATTTGGTCCTTGTGTGATATTAGAATGTGCTGATGGCAAAGATTGATTTCATAAAGCGAATTAGCGGCTAGTTAAGAGTTATTTAAAATTCAGGCTTGAAGCATGCTGAATAAGCTGTTGCCAATTGGTCTAGTGCTCATATTGAAGTTCAAAAACAATTTTTTATCATCTCTAGGTCCTTCAATGTTGATCACTAATGTTAATGAATCACTTCTTCCTTTCCCCTTTTTTTGGCATCTCAAGGAAACTTTTTCTTTTTCGCCTCTAGGTGGCCTAAACAGTTGGTTTGGTCCACGGGTGCCATCTTTTGTTTGTCAACATTACAAAAAAGATGGCAAAAATAAGTCGTAGAAACTGTGAAAGCTTTGTATTTGTTGAAATGGGATCTGGTTTGCTGCTTTTATCATTTGTGGAATACTTCATTGGCATAAGACTGGTTTGTCTATTATGTATAATTGGGGACCAGTGGCCCCTGCAATGAAGTTTATGATAGATACTTTTTCTTTTATGGTATAAAATTTATCACATTCTTTTCACAGAAGATTTATGTTTTTTCATTTTGCAGAAATTATGTTGTTCAGTTTATCTTGGAGTTAAAAATCCCATCTGCCACTTCAACTTTGATTTCTCAATTCGAAGGGAACTATGTGCACCTCTCATCGCAAAAGTTCAGCAGTCATGTGGTTGAAAGGTGTCTTGTGGTATTAAATGACGAAAGCCGGGCAAGAATCATTCGTGAATTGCTTTCTGCTACTCACTTCGAACGATTACTACAAGATCCGCATGCAAACTATGTTGTGCAAACTGCTCTCCGTGTGTCCGAGGTTCTAAAGTCAATACTTTTCCTTTCATTAACGGAATAATCCCTCAATGAACATTATTTTGCGTCCCTGTGGCACTTAAAGCATAGATATTTTTCTGCATAACAATGATCGATACCGCAAAAGAGAACCACACTCAGTTTTTTTGGTACCGACTACCGAGTACCTGCAACATGTACAACACATAGTTTTGGTTGAAAATATATGCTCATACAATAGTGCAAACTCGATTCCACGTTAGGATCATGTCTTAGTAAATATTCATATTAGAGACAGGGTTAATGTTCTCATTGGTTTCTTTCGGCGTCTCCGTCAATGATTCGCCTCTTGTTTTCTATGTCAGGGACCTATGCACAACTCACTCGTCGATGCAATCGGATCCAGGAAAGCAATCTCGCGGAGCAGCCCATATTCCAAGAGGATTTTCTCTCAGAAGCTTATGAAGAAGTGATGTAAATGCCCCTTGTCTCTCTCTGTAAGAAGCAATGCTTTTTCCTTGTTTTTGTTGTTCTGGTGGATTTAACCATAAAAAGGCACGGTGAACATGTGTTGTCGCCCATCTTCTCTGAAGAGACTGTAAAGAATAAAGCAATTTTGTTTCAGAGTTGCTTTAAGTTTTGAGCATTGTATTATTCTGTTGTCTTTATTTGTATCTATGCATTCATTGTATATCAAAATATCTTTGTTTATTTTGAACATTGTGCAATGTATACAAGTTGTTAGGGTTCCCCCAATGTGGTCCGTGGGTGGATGCCATTTTAAACAGCATGCTGGGTTGGGTTTTTGCCCCACCCGAATTAAATTAAATCTCTTTATTTGCACTTAACCCTACTCGGGTTTCGGAGGGTCTAATTGTAAAAAAATAATATAGAAAGAGGTCTTGTTGTAATTGTCTATAAAGTATATAAAGGATAATTATAACATTATGTTAGGTTGAGTTTTTAACCTAAAATTAAAATCAAATTCATTCCAATTCGATCACATCTTTCAAAAAACTTAATCTAAACTTGAATTGTTAAAATAAATAGTTGATCTAATCGAATCGAATCAAATTGAAACTTGTCGGGTTTGAGTGAAATGATCATCCCGTTGATCATGGTGTTAGAAAACATTTTCTAAGATATCGCGTCTTACAAAATGTATTGGAATTCCGATGATAATAATAATATTCAAACTCATGAATGGGTTGAGAGGTATTACGGTAGTCACAATTTTGAAAATTTCAAATTCTCATATAGTGTATGTATTTTTTTATATTTTATAGTAATGATTTAACTTTATATCTTCTAAAATTTTAATATAATTTCTTAAAATTTGTATTTTTAAAATTTTAATATAATTTTTTAAAAATTTACATTTCTAATATATAATCCTACGTATATTCATACTAAATATCATAAATAGTCTAATTTTTAGTACAAATTGTGAGTCTACATAAATACTTTATCAACTTGAAAAAGAAAAAGGATCCAAAAGTTACAAAGCAACCTTTAAGGGGGTGGGCGAACGGAATAAAATAAAAAAGAAAACCAGAAGCTCCTACAAGTGGGTTTGGTGGGGGGGGGGGGTGGGGTTAACCATGTCTGAAGATTCTAGGGACACGTGTCGATATTAAGGACGTGGACCAATCACGTAAACGAAACAGATCGGATCTCATCGCCCCCACTCTCATCCACGAATTCTGATGCACATCCCTTTTAGCTCCGCCGTTGTTTTCACCTCCTCGCCACGCACTCTTAATAATTAATAAAATATTAAAATTCATTGATCTATTTGTTCTCTCTACAGTCCCGGAATCTCATCTTTTGGACTTTTTATTTTTTGAAATATCATCTTTTGGATTTAGGGCTGGTGAATAACTTTGTACTGTAGATTTTGGAGCTTTCTTTTGTTTGTGAAGTTGTGCGTTTACTTGTAAACAAATTGTTTGTCTCTGGAGAATTTGATTTCTTTGGTGAAATTTGTCAGTTTCAGGTGAGATTTTGTTTGCAGATCGTTTTTGTTTTATTTTTTTTTCTGCGGAAGTTTTGTTTTAGTCTATCTGTTTAGATTCCGCTTGGTCGTTGATTTTTATTTTTGTTTAGTTGCTGACAAATTCTTGAAATGAAACAGAACTTTAGATTTTTTTTTTTAAATTGTAAACTGCAGACTAGAAGTTAAGTTAAATCTGATACTATTATTTCCGATTGCAATAGTATTTTTGCTGTTAATAGGGTTATTCTGTTGTTTGGTTGATGAGAACAAAATGATTTGGACCTAGATTTACACTAGAGAATAATAATTTTTTCGCTATTTGTTTACTGGTAAATAGATGCGGATTGCGTTTCGTGCTTTGATGCTGAAAAGTAAATACTTTTTGTTTTATGTGTATTCATAGTTTTAAGTTTTAGATTTGGTTATTGTTAAAGAAATTGAAGTTTATTTTTTCTTTAGGATTTTTCTAATTTGTCAATTTTTCTGTTTTCTCGGTCAGAAAGCTTAACCAGACAATAACCGTCTTCCATAAACGCGACAACCGACTAAAGGATGGAATTTGAGTTTAGTGGTGGATAAGGATCTCATAGGAATGTCTGACCTTATGTATGAGGTAAGTGTCTCTTGTTTATCTTTTACTTTTGTTTCAGTTTACTTCCATTTTCTAGTAATGGAATATTTTTTAGGATCTCGTAGGATGGAATATTTTTTTGCTTATTAATTCAACTTGAGATTGGTTTTACTCAGTTGTTCACTAGATTTTTCAAGCCAATAGAACTTGTGTTGTGGGTAAGAAGAAAAACAACAGTAATCAAAAGAAATAAGGCCAAACAAACAAGTAGGAAAGAAGATGTGACTCAAGAAAAAACTTAGGGTTAAGGAAACCTCTAGTTTTCGTTTTATTCAAAGAAAATAATAATAAGTTGATGTAATATTTTTACTACTTTATTTATGCTAGGGTTACAAAGATAAGTTAATCTTAGCCCTAGATTTAAAGCATAAAGGAAATTTATAATCCTAGTCATCCAAAATATATCTAATATTTAATAAAACTGAGAATAAATAAATATTATAATAATATAATATCCCGTGTCAACTTGAAGTTTTAGAACATGGAATAACAACTCTTTGGTTATGATAATAGTGGAGGGATTTATTGAAAACTTGAGGGTGATGGATTTGTTTTGAAGAAAATCTCAAGTACTGTAGTTTGAAGCTTGTTGTTCCATTTTTTGTGGGTTTTCTGTTTCTTTTTGGATTCTGTTTATAAGTTAGGATTATGGGTCAGTTTTCCCATTGTCTATATTGGAACATGCTAAGCTCAAGTCATATTTTGGTATTTCTTTCTCTGTTAGCGATGGAGGTGGTACTTTCTGTGTGTATTTGTTAAGTCTGGTTGTCAAGTTAGGTTATATCATATTATATATTACATCTGTGTTCTAGGAATGATTGTGCAATTCTCCTCTTTTCATTAGAAGTTGGACATCCTGATAAGCTTCGATGAATTTAACCCTAAAATGGAGTTTATTCTTTTAGTTTAAGTTGTTTTCAATGATTCAACCCAAACTGGATTTTGTTAGCAGGAATCATTGTTCTGTCTTCTTGGTGAGTTGTTTTATATATATGATTTTATTCATTTTACAGACTTGATAGGCCAATGTTAGATTAATGCCGATTTTTGGTACAATAGAGCCATTACCATCTAGTGCGATGGTAAAAAATCTTTGGGGTTGAAGTGTGCAGGAGCATGAGCAAAGGCATAGGCACGAGATGACTGCTTTATAAAAAAATACCTTGTAATGGTATTTATGCTAGTGGGATAATAATTGGATGGGTATTCTTTTGAAGATTGCTGTTCAGATTCGCCTTGAACCGCCTTAGCGACCACCTTGTTTTTGGTTGCAGTACCTTTTTATGGAATGCTTTGTGCTAGTTAAGGGATGTAACTCAGTTCATCCTTCTAGAAGTATCTTTTACTTGATCTACTCTGTTTTCATTTCCTTTGATAATGAATGAATGAATGAGTATGACTAAACTTTAAGTAATTGATGTTACAGCTTGAAGATAATGTTTGGGATGAATTCAGTGCTAGTACTACCGATGATCATATAGTTCCTCATCCTGTTGATGAATATGGGGCTCAATTCAAAGTTCAAAGGGATGGTCAAACGAAACCACAACATGAAGTGACTGGAGTTGCTAGAAATGCAGATAATTCGATTAAATATGGTATTTTCGGGGAGAAGGGAAAAAGCTTTCATATTCTGACCAAGAACAGAATGTTAGAAAAGGATTCATGGTCTGACAGACCTGATGGAATATTTCCCACTTCAGGTGACAATGACTCACTCAAAGAAGTAACAGGCATGGTTTCTGATGATCCAATGATGTCTAGCCATGGTCTCAAAACTGGCGATATAGATTCAGTTAGCAATGATTTCTGTGCAGATGATCCTGTCTTGGTTGACAACTGTGCTACAGTGTACAATAACATCTACCTTTTTCCACTAAATCATATATCTGAAGCCAATGATGATATCAGATTTTTTAATAATAACCATGAAGACAAAGAAAACGGTGATCTTCTATGTTATGGTTGGGGGGACATTGGGAATTTTGAGGATGTTGACAGGATGTTCAGGTAGTTCTTGAAATCCCTTTATAACTTTCATGTTATGCTCTACCATGTAAAACCTGAGGTTCACTGGGACCTTTGCTTTGATTATAACTTCAAGTATATACATTCAAACATCCATAAGTATCCACATAATGTAACTGCACCATATTTGTATCCGTGCATGTACATGGGGTTTACCAAGTACTATCAGTACTTAGCTTTTCTTATTGGTCACACAGAAATTGTGATTCAACGTTTGGATTGGGGAGTTGCAGTAATGAAGATGATTTGTGCTGGGTTTCATCTTCACAAGCAACTGAAGGATCTCAAGATGTGTTCAAGGCTGATGCTAAATTAAATAGTTTACCAGAGAATTGTGCAACTTCTAGTCCAGATGCAGGTACTTCAACTATTGATTCCGACAAGAAAAGTGTTCTCCTTGATGACAAAATAAGTTCCCTTGGTATGAGCAGTAGAAATCCTGGCCTTGCTCACATGTCATCTTTGAATGCATCCAATAACAAATCTGGAAGTAAGGATGGCTTGACACCTAAGGAGCAGGTTAGTAAAATCTTTCTTCTCCTTTCTCAATCTTTTGAAATCCACATTTTATTTAGGAATATCCCACTATCTAATTTTGGCACCCAGAAATTTGTCATCCTCCTAGTATCTTTTAGGCACATTTTCTTTCCAAGGATATATTTCAAGCTACAGTAAATTAGGATGATAAGTAGAAATAATACTCCGTTTTGATAGTGCATGTTCATAATGGATATAAAATCCGCAATCTAGATTTGGATAGTGATTGATATAATCCACTCTTAAGCTCGTTTCAGATGAAAAGGTTTGCTGTAAGTTTTCCTTCGACGTGTTGTTGCCATGTGAAATTTTTGCTATGTTGTCCTATTTGTATTTCCAAATTACAGATTAGTCCACAAAATAATCAGTCAAAGCAGCTGAGTGCATCGGGAGAAAGAATAGATCATCGTCTTAAAAATGGAGACTATTGTCACCAATATGGTAACATCAAGCAGTTTGCAGACGTGAAGCATCTCTCTAGTGATGCATCCTGTCAGCTCTTTTCCTCACTGGATCTTCAGCAGCTGAAGCAAAACATCGGACCTGATTCTGTAAGTTATGTACAGGCAAATGTTCCTTTTATGCATCTCAACTACAGCAGTCCTTCGAACCAAATTTCAAGATGTCCAACTCTAGCTAGTAACAAATCTGAAAGAGACGGACATCCTACTTTGACAAATGGTTCATCTTATGCATCAAATCAGGTACAGTCCATAGATCGTGGTCATTCATTTGAGGTTCCTGACAATGTAACGAATGAGAAGAGAGGAAAGCTGAACCACCAACAGGTTACACAAGTCCCACTCAATAGTGTTGTCGACCAAGCAAGAATGGAAAGACAGGTTGCATTTAATGATCCATTCACTTCTCAAAAGCAGATCTGTCAGTCGGAACGGGATGAAGGTCATAGTGAAGGTGAAGGATTTAGTGTAGGAAAGCAAGCAGAACTAGGTTCTTCAAACGGGCAGGAAAGCTCTAGTGTAAGTTCGACATTGGCTGAAGTCTCACTAGAAGCATCTAGTTTTCGACAGCTTCAACAAGTCATGGAAAAGGTATGGTAGATGACAAGATTTTGTGATGCGCAGAATCACATGTTCCTTATAGATAATCAGTAAACAGGTAATTGATCAAGTTATCGAATTTTCAGTTGGATATCAGGACAAAACTGTGCATACGGGATAGTCTGTATCGTCTGGCTAGGAGTTCTGAACAGAGGCATAACTGTGCAAATACAAGGGAAAGTAGAGATGATAAAGATGCAAGTGGACCTTTTGAGGCCGAAGAAACAAGCAAGTATGTTTTTGTTCCTCTGTAGAAAGGACCATATAGATGTAAACATGATAAGAATCCGTTTTCGAACTGTTACATCTCGAATATTTTGTTTGTTTTCTTTTTCAGGTGCACTAGATTTATGGATATAGAAACTGACACAAACCCTATAGATAGATCCATAGCACACTTGCTATTTCACCGGCCTTCGGATCCATCTCTAAGGCCTGCTACCAAAACAACATCTTTAAAGTCTCATGGGACGGTAAGCATTTGCCTGTCACTCGTTTTCCTTTGAGCTTGAAGAAATCTCTCGTTTCTCTAACCTTACAAAGCCTTGTGCTTGTGGACTGGAAATGGCAGATTCGTGGCTCGACCACTACTGCACCCGTGATTGCTGGAAAACACGTTGGCCATGACGGAACTGATGCTGGTTCAGATGAAAAACCCGCTGAGCTGACTACAGGTAACATTGGAACTTGATGAGAACACTTGTAAAATATAATCTTATTTTATGATCATGTAAAATGCATTTTGGAGTGCGGCCTCAAAACATAAAGATGATGCGAGGTAATTTGACCCTAAGATTCAATTTAATAAAGAGTTTTCTTTCCTATGTTGGCATTAATTATCATTACCAATTTATTATTGAAGGAAACCAAATGTGTGTATGTATTGAAGGAAACCATATATATATATAATATTATTTTTTTTCGAGAGGGCGTCACGACCCCATCGATTCCTTCACAGTTCCGTCACTAGTTGCATGATTTTGAATTAAGTTGTGGACGAATTGCAAGTTCAAAATATATTGGTTTATGTAAGTTTTAATATCGTTTGGATTCAGTATCAGTTCAAACGAAACTTTTATGAATATAGTTCAAAACTGTCCAAAATAAACACATCTTTAATATCTTTAATATTATTCTTTCCTAATAAATGTTTTATTATTCTTTTTCTTTTTACAAATTTTAAATAAAATCCTAATACTATATAAGAGAAATGGAGAATTCCTGCTGAAGGAAGGGGAGTACTACTAGTAGTTTTAGGACTTACGACTTAAGAGAATATGAGGAAATAAAAATGACCAAATTGACTAGTCGATTAAATATGGTTGATCAAATCTTATCATTCTTATTTCTTGGTTACAATTAAAACACTGATTAACAGTGGATAGGCCGAGCTTTCAGGGGAGCTTGATCCAGATTGACAATATCCTGAGCAACATGAGGGGGATGCTAGATCAGGGAAAATCCCAGGCTAGGGTGGCGTTCTAGCTTCGTGAGGATGTCTGCCAGTTGTTGGTTTCCCTTGGAGTGTAGTTGATCATGAGATGCCAGAACCGGCTAAGAAGCTCGTGGATTCTCCTGACCAAAGCTGATTCATAATATTGGGGGATAGTTAGACATCGAACAACTTCATTGTTGTCCACTTCCATTGTAAGGTCGTGAATCCATCGGTTCCATGTTATCTCGAGGCCATCCAGAATGATCCAATATTCAGCTTGAAGATCGGAGAAACATCCTATTTTCCTAGTGTGGCCAATAATCCAATCGCCCTTCTTGTCTCTGATAGCTCCACCACTTGAAACCAGCATTGTCACGGAATTAACTGCACCATCAGTGTTAAGCTTAATGACTCCATTGCTGGGGGATCTCCAGCGTTGGGTAAAGCGTTTAGTAGTGAGGTGTGTCCGAGTGTTTTGTTGATTAGCCTTGATGGAGCTCGCCCAAGCTTTTGCCACTAGGATGATTTCCATCGAGGACCATATTCAACTGTTAATTATGAAATTGTTCTGATGTTTCCACAGCTTCCAGATAAGAACGTCAAACAAGTGGTGCCATAAATAGTCTGTCTGATTAAGACCTGCATTATTGACAAGATTAGACTCCAACTATTCCATTAAAGGGGTAGAGAAAAAAAAACCCGAATGCAAATGAGTAGGGATTATGTGAGTCCAAATCAAACGGGAATGGTGGCAATCTCGATGAGCATGGATAATAGTTTCGTCCTCCAAGCCACAAAGATGACAGCGTTTTCTAAAGTGGTTCCCCTTCTAGTGTGTTCCACATTGGTCATTATACGTTGGCGAAGCACAATCCAAATAAATTGTTTAATACGTTGAGGGCCATCGAAATTCCAAGCCAAAGACCAGGTTTTGCTTGCGGTTCCCATCGATCTTGTTGAAAAACATTGAAGGTTGACTTGACAGTGTAGGTTCCATTCGGATTCCAACGCCAATTCGGTATATCTTCTCCTATGCCATCACAAGGCTTGGGTATGCTAGCTATCTAATTGACGAGGTCCTCATCAAGGGCTTGAGGCATCATGTTGAAATTCCATTCCCCATTGGTTCCCATAAACCAGAGTCCATGGTGTTATGAATACTGTGGACCAATCTCTCCATGCAGAGAACAAAGATATAAGGTGAGTGGGGGCATCACTGTCGGATTCCTCTAGAAGGTTTAAATTTTTTCTGTCGGAGATCCATTCTAGAAAATCTGCATGGACGAAGAGGTGACAAACTGTTGAAAAGTCAAGCATGAGCCAAAACTTTCAACAATTTTGGCTGAAAATGTTCGGTAAATTAATGAACCGATTTCGGTGTTATTTTTGTTGAAAATAAAAATAGGAATATTGTACTTTAGTCCCTATATTTTTAGAGTATTTACAAAGTTAGTCCTTAAGCTTCAACTATAAATATCCTTACTCATTTAGCTTCAAAATCATCCCAAATCATTTCTTTCACCCAATACTAGAGAGCTTTCTTGTGAGTTGTGAGTGTTTTGTAAACACCTGTAAATTTTCTCTCTTTAGTAAAAGATCTGCAGCAGTCCGGAGACGTAGGCAAAATTGGCTGAACTCCGTTATCAATTTCGAGTATTATTTTTCCGCTTTTATTTCGCATTCTCACTAATCTGGTTATAAGGAAATTACTCGGTCATTTCCCAACAACTGATATTAGAGCTTTTGATTGTGAATTTTGTCAATTTTTCTTTGAGGTCACTATTCACGTGAATAGTGAAATTTGGTCGGCGATACGAATTTGTCGACGGAGGGGTTCTAATACACGGTGGTTCTCGTAAATTGTCATAAGCGATTCAAAAGAAGCTAGATTCGAGTGGGAGCGATGACTTTGAGTGTAATACCCCAAAAATTTAGACAATGACCAAAATGAAAATTTGGAAAGTTTGATTTTCAAAGTAGAAAATTTGGAAAAAGTTTAGGGAATTAAGTGATAATTTCCTAAAAAGAATTTTATTCCATAAATAGATGGTTTACTCTTGAGAATGGAGTTTTTATAGAAATCATATTTTTGGATTTGACATTTTGGTAAAGAAAAATTAAAAGGGACAAAGCCGTTAAGAAAATTTGAAGGATGTTACAATATGGTTATAAATATTATTTTAATATTTTGGATCAGAGAAATTTGGTTTGGAAATATGCAATTTTTCAGATTTAATCGAAACAGTGGAATTTAGTGACTAAAACACAAATTTTGAAAATTCAAGGTGAATTTCGGAAATAAAAGTAAAAATAATTCAAGTTTGACTTTGTAATATGATAATGATCAGTTGGCTTGGTTTTATGGTGATTATGGAGATTCATTAAGGGTAAAAATAGAAATTCTTATGGAATGGAATAAAAAATTCCATTAGGATATTATATTAGCATGTGAAAGATATAATTAATATTAGAATAACAATATTGGGGGAATATTTCAGCTTCTTCTTCCTCCAAGGGCCGACACTTTCAAGCAAGAAAGGTAAGCATTTTTAGTTTGAATTTTGAAGCGATTTCTTGAGAATTTGAGTCGGTGTGGTTAGGAAAAATGTTCTACGTTCAATTCTCTACATTTTGACATGAATATTACTAGGGTTTCATGTTCAAGTTCATCTTGAGTTGATGAAGGGGCTTTTGATTCTTGTGTTTTATGGGTTTTGATGAGTTAAGTGATTTTAAAGAATTGGTTGTAAGAATTGATGAAGAACCTAAGTGATGTAAGGTAATTCTACCTTCTCGTTTGATTGTGGATCTAGGAAGGAAGCAAAACAACCTGCACAAGTGAATGGCTCAAAGCAGAATGGATAAGGGTGGTAAACGTATGGTTTAATAGGTAGGCTATTTAATAAATGAGAGATGGAAACAGAAGATGATTGAATGGTTATGGTTATGGCGATGAAACAAAAGGATGGTGGTGAGGATAGTATCTTGAAGAATGCTCAAAGAAGAACCAATGCTATAGAGAGCAAAGACCCAATCTTTATATTGTTTCTTCAAGGGGTGGTGTTAAGTACTTTGACCCACTAGTTATATGAACTAGGAACCAGAAGTATCAAGATGAAAGAAGAGGTTTGACGCCACAAGTATAAAATACTTGATAAGTCGATAAAAAGTCATCAGGACTTAAGAAAGAGAATAATCTCACTTCAATTAAAATAAAAGGTCTGATTACAAATGAAATATAATGGCCTATTTATAGTTTTTGAAAAGACTTGGCCGAATAGGTACATGTTGGTTCGGCCAGCCCTTGTACCTTCCTAAAATTACATGATTTTTAATGAAAAAACAAGACTTTAATGAAAATACATGCTCTTGGCCGAATGGTTATGTGTTGGTTCGGCCCTAAGGATGATTTGAATGTATTTGGAAGTTATTTGGGGTGCCAAAATGAAGAGGAAAGAGTCTTTGGCCGAATAGGAAGCATCCCTTGGTGTTTTGGCGCCAATTTGATGTCACATGGAGTGCACATGCTTGAATGATGCACATGGCAGCCTGCACATGGGTCTTCTTACTATGCTTTGATGAGGTTGCAACCATAGGATGATGTCTTGAAGTCCATGGAATGAAGATAGGCAACAACTAGGCGTCAATTAGCTTCCAACATGCATCTAGGTGACATGGCATCCATTGGGCAGCCTAGAGATGAACTAGCTTCAAGGTAAGCTAGGTGAGTGTCTTGGTAGCTAACTAGGTGAGTTATAGCTTGATGAACGCAAGCTAGTTAGCTTTGGTCTTCTCAACTCCTTAGCTACTCTCCCAGCTACTTCAAGCTACCTCTAGTCCACTTTTCAGTAATTTGGTCTAAAGCTCTCCTCCAGCTAAGTTTAGCTACATGCTAGCTCCTCTAGCTAAGTTTAAGCTCCTTATGTGATGAAATGAGCTGCCATAATGTTCATGAGCTAGTGTGAGCTGATGTGCTTGTCCTTTTATCTAGCCAAGCTACCATAATATGCCTTGTTTTGTGTTTCACCTATAGGAATCACCAAACAAATAAAATAAGCAATGTGTGAGCTCATTTAAGGTAAAATGCATGTTGCCTTGAGGTGTTTGAGTGATATGAGCTATGAATGCATGTCATGAGCTAAGTACATAATGATATAACATATGTAAGCTAATGTATAAGACCTAGGAGCTAGAATGAATGCACGTGAGCTAACAAATGAATGATTAAGCATTCTGCCATTTCACGAATGAATTTAATCATGCTTAAATGAATGCAAGACTAATATAACATACTTAACATACTTGAAATAACATTGTGCATCAATTATAAAGATGTGAATGCATGAATATCATATAATATGGTATTCATAAATGATAAATGGAAACA